GCCCCGCCCCTTCACCCCCGCCCCGCCCCTCCACTCTGGCCCCTTCAGTAGCACTTTGCAAACGTGGGAGTTACTTAAAAATAGTGTGAAACAAACAGAACACATTCAATGCCCAGGATTCTGTCTCTTGGGGTGTTGGATGCCATATTTTTTATTCAAACGACCCAAATTTCCAAAACAGGCTAGGAGAGCTGTCCTGTGGGGACAGCCAAGAGTGTATCAGTGAGGCTTGTGAAATGTCATTAACTCAAAGGATGGTGGTTTGAGAATGAAGAAAAAGTACATGGCATTTTAAAATACAAAACCAATCAGGGTGCAGTAGTTCACACCTGTAATCCCAGCCCTTTGTGAGGCCGAGGAGGTCAGGAGTTCGAGACCAGCCTGGCCAAAATGGTGGAACCTTGTCTCTATTAAAAACACAAAAATTAGCCAGGCGTGGTGCCATGTGCTTGTAATCCCAGCTACTCGGGACCCTGAAACAGGAGAATTGCTTGAACCAAGGAGGCAGAGGTTGCAGTGAAGCCAGATCAAACCACTGCACTCCAGCCTGGGCCACAGAGTGAGACTCCCTGTCAAAATAAAATAGGCCAGGCATGGTAGCTCATGCCTGTAATCCCAGTACTTTGGGAGGCTGAGGCGGGTGGATGACCTGAGGTTAGGTGTTCAAGATTAGCCTGGCCAACATGGTGAAACCCTGTATCTACTAAAATTACAAAATTAGCTGGGCGTGGTGGCAGGCACCGGTAATATCAGGTATTTGGGAGGCTGAGGCAGGACAATTGCTTGAACCTGGAGAGGCAGAGGTTGCAGTGAGCCGAGATCTCACCACGGTACTCCAGCCTGGGCAAGAAGAGCGAAACTCTGTCTCAATAATAGTAAAATAAATAAACAAAATACGAAATCAGAAGCAGGCTGGACACGGTGGCTCACGCCTATAATCCCAACACTTTGGGAGGCCAGGGTGAGAGGATCACTTGAGTCCAGGAGTTTGAGACACAGGGAGAACCTGTCTACAAAAAATACAAAAATTAGCCAGGTGTGGTGGTGCACCTCTGTAATCACAGCTACTTAGGAGACTGAGGTGGGAGGATTGCTTGAGTTCTGGAGGTCAAGGCTGCAGTGAGTCATGATCACGCCACTACACTCCAGCCAGGGTGACAGAGTGAGATCCTGTCTCAAAGAAAAAAAAAAAAATCCTGGCCGGGCGCTATGGCTCATGCCTGTAATCCCAGCACTTTGTGAGGCCAAGGCGGGTGGATCACCTGAGGTCAGAAGTTTGAGACCAGCCTGGCCAACATGGCGAAACCCTGTCTCTACTAAAAATACAAAAATTAGCCGGGCGTGGTGGTGCATACCTGTAATCCCAGCTACTCAGGAGGCTGAGAAAGAAGAATCACTGGAACCCAGGGGGCAGGGGCTGCAGTGAGCCGAGACTGCGAGACTGCACCGCTGCACTCCAGCCTGGGCGACAGAGCAAGACCCCATCTCAAAAAAAAAAAAAAATTAGCAGGGTGTGGTTGTGCGCGGCTATAATCCCAGCTACCTAGGAGGCTGAGGCAGGAGAATCGCTTGAACCTGGGAGGCTGAGGTTGTGGTGAGCCGAGATAGTGCCATTGCACTCCAGTCTGGGAGACAGAGCAAGACTCTGTCTCAAAAAACAAAACAAACCAAACCTAATTGGCTATTTTAAAATAAACAATTTCTGTGACTTAGGTGAGGCGCAGTAAGCCTGTGTACTGGGACGAGGAACAGGCAAGGGGACTAAAGACCTGTCGTGCTAGGGCCCACCGTGCTGAGGGCCATGGGCAGTCCCTCCTGCTCTTCCTGACTGGGGCTGTGTCCTGGACTGAAACCTCACAGCCTCACACAGGCATGCCTTCCACAGCGTCCGCCTGGGCACAGTGCCCATGGCCACGGCCACAGGCACCACGGCGGGACACGTCAGCTTCTGAGCCTCGGGACAGCAGCCTCTGGAGGAGGAACACGGGAGTCAGATGAGCTGAGGAAGGGCATCGCACATGTGGTGGATTCTGTGGGAAAGAGCTTGGGCCACACTGGGCGTGCCCTAGAAAGGCTGTTCTGACAAGTTGACCTCGCAGCTGGGTGCCGAGTGGGATCACAGTGCAGAGAGCAGGGCAGGGGACACAGCTTGACCCATGCTTCAGAACAGGGTGGCAGCAGCCAGAACCCTCGACGATCACCAGAGCAGGACAGGCCTGGGGCGCAGGAGGCCCGGCTGCCCTGGCATCTCTGGGGCGGCGCAGAGACATGCACGGGTGGAGGAGGCTCACCGACAACGATGTGCAGCGCTGAGGTTTCCGCGTCGCTGGTGCCCACCGTGGAGTAGCACACACAGTCCGTGGACCCTGTAAAGGGAGAGAGAAGCTCCTGAAAATCATTCGAATGACCTGGAATTGTCGCCGTCTCCCAATTCAGTGAGTGGTTCCTCATTCCTTTCCTTCCATGGCCCTAAGAGTCAACCAACACTAAGGAATAAATAGAATTTACCCACAAAATGGATATTGGTAATGTTAGCATTGATTCCTCAAGGAGTTCAAGACCAGCCTGGTCAACATGGTGAAACTCCGTCTCTACTTAAAAGACAAGTTTAGTAATGGCATGCACCTGTAATCCCAGCTCCTTGGGAGACTGAAGCAGGAGAGTCACGTGATCCTGGGAGGTGAAGGCTGCAGTGAGCCAAGATAGTGCCACTGCACTCTGCCCCCCAACAAAAAAAAATACCGAGATTAATCTTGCAACAATATCAAGCGGCACCCTTCGGAGTTGCTTAGGACATGGCCCTGCCAGCATCACGGTGGCTCCTGAAGCCTGTCTTACAGGGGACCCCCCAGATGGCAGCAGCACCCCATGGCCTGGACCACAAGGGCTAACGGAGCCCACCCAGGCCATCTTTGGAGGCCTGAACAAGTAGGTCAACTGCAAAGGTCACGGGAAAACAGCACTAGAGAGGCTTTCACACCAAGACACCGTTTCCAGCAACAGCGCTGCACTTGAAGGAGGAGCAGGCTGACCTTGGATTCACAGGGAGTGGCCGCCGCCAGCTGATGCACCTGCAGGGACCCGCTGCCTGCACTCTGCACCCAGTGACCACACCAGCAGATGCATGACCAGGGTCGGGGCTCTGCTTTCTCTCCCATACAGGGGGAAACCAAGGTGTGGCCTCAGGGTGCTGCAGAGGGTGGCTTTGCAGAACCGTGCTGCACCTGGGCAGGGGTGACCGCGGCATGGCAGCAAGGCTGCTGATCCTCCCAGGGGCTGTCTCACTCTGACCAGGTCACAGCTGAGGCTGCTGTTCTCCAGCCTGCAGGGGTGAGGCTATCCTGAGAACCTGTCTGTAACAGTGACTCTGGAGGCTCCAACACCCAAGTTCCTCGCTCAGTAGGTCCAGGACGAGGCCGGGCAGCCCAAACATTTGGCACCTGTGCCGGGTAGCTGAAACGCCGAGACTGGATCTCCCTGGAACAAACCTTATGACAGCATCTAGCAAGTCTAATGTTGGACCCATGACACCACTCACTAGGGAGTGGCCCAAAGTGTGACCAGGCACAGACAGGCTGGCCTGGGCGCTGCAGGTCCCGGGGGCTCCGCCTCAGCCCCCAGAGTCCACAGGCCTCTCATCATCGGTGACCTCTGGTGACACCTGGAAGTTCGAGTTCCCAACGCAGGTCCTGGACCACAGCCCTCCTGGTGATCTCCGAGACCAGACTGCGCAGCAGAAGGGCCCTTGTTAGTGGTCTCAGTGGGCTGACGGCCCAAGGGCTGGCACACGTAGGTACACATGCATTTTAAACACGTGTCTGTCTTTTGTGTTAAATCTTAACTCAGACGTGAATGACATCTCATTTCAAAATTGAGCCAAAAAGTGGCCAGGTGCAGTAGCTGATGCCTGTGATCCCAGCACTTTGGGAGGTCCAGGCGGGTCCATCACCTGAGGTCAGGAGTTTGAGACCAGCCTGGGCAACATGGTGAAACCCTGTCTCTATTAAAAATACAAGCAATTAGCCAGGCACCTGTAATCCTAGCTACTTGGGAGCCTGAGGCAGGGGAATCACTGGAACACAAGAGGCGGAGGTTGCAGTGAGCCGAGATTGTACCACTGCACTCCAGCCTGGGCGACAGAGTGAGACTGTTTCAAAAAAAAACCAAAAAGTAAAAAATGTATAAGTGAACCTTTGAGATTACAGGCATGACTCTTTTTTTGTTTCTCCTCACGCCCAAGGTCAGGTGCCGTGGGTCCCTGGTGTCTGTCCTGAGTCCCCGGGCCACCCTCTCCGCTGCTCTCCCCAACTGATCTGGCTCAGCATGGGTCTCCTTCCCTCAACATGACGGCCTCAGTCGCCCCAGGCTGGGCCAGAGCAGGCAGCAGGTATGCATGATGCAGTCAAACCCTGTGGGCCAACTTCATCAAAGAAACAAATTTCGTGCCATAAGGACAGAAAGGAAACGCTGTGTAAAGCCTAGAATTTTTCATAAACATTTGAAGTGGCTGGATGCGGCGAAGGTCACACACTGCCATTTCTTGAGATTTTTTTTTTTTTTTTTTTGAGACGGAGTCTCGGTCTGTCACTAGGCTGGAGTGCAGTGGTACAATCTCGGCTCACTGAAACTTCTACCTCCCGGGTTCAAGCAATTCTCCTGGGACTACAGGCGTGTGCCACAACACCCAGATAATTTTCTTGTATTTTAATACAGACGGGATTTCACCATGTTGGCCAGGATGGTCTTGATCTCCCGGCCACGTGATCCGCCCGCCTCAGCCTCCCAAAGTGCCAGGATTACAGGTGTGAGCCACCGCGCCCGGCCTACTTGAGATCTTAATACCAGGACAGGCAGCTCAAGTCCCTGCTTCAGCCCTGTGGACGTGGCCAGCTGTGGCTTATGCATCTTTTTATCCTCCGCTTCACTGGCTCAGATGAAATGGAAGCTGCAGCTGCACCGGCTGACCGGCCGACCGCACAGCCCGCCCTCTGAGGACCGGAGCTCAAAAGAACGATTTGTATCCCCAGCGACCACCCACAATGCGGGAGTAGCTGGGCTGGCCCTCAACATTCCCGACGCAACTCAGTGCACGAGTTCCTCATCCACCCGACCAGCACGGCTGCCACCGGAGTAAAGACCACACGCTCCCGCTCCCGCAGGAAGGACCGGGATCCAGGGAGGTTGCCCCCAGCACACACATCATCTCCTCAAGCCTCTCTGTGCCTCAGTTCATTAACAGGCAAGGCCGGCTGAAGTTACCAGCCGCAGATGCAGTTAAGGGCTAACACCTGCCCTTAAATGAAGGACCCAATGACAATTTATTCTTCCTATAGATTTGCTAATGCAATTAAATTAACATGTATTTGGAAGAGACTTGAAAGGTAAAAACGTGCTAGATGACGTTGCTGTGACGTGTGTCCCCGAGGCAGCCCTCCACCGAGGCTGCTCCACACCCTCTGGATCCCAGGACTCCAACCCTCACCTGCCCCTCCTCCCCCCAACCAGCAAGACAAGCAGTGACCTCTCCACCTTCTAGGGACTGGAACCCTGGAATGTGAGTGAGTCCAGGCGCCTGCTGCCACCACCGGCCAGCTGCGCACGCCCAGGCGGCCTCCCATGGGGTTTGTGGCTGTCAGGTCTCACTTGCATTTCTTGTGCTCCCAGGCTGGTTCCCAGGTTGCCATGGCGACTGTTACAGGGCCACCGTAGGGTGCCTCCCTCACCCTTACTCTGCCACTCAAGGCTATGCCATGTCTCAGAGACCCCACGCAGCCCCCCATCCGCTCACCCCAGAGTCTCAGACCCTGTGCAGCACCCCTGCCATCCAAGTCACCAGCCTTCTCACCGGGGCCCACATGCTCCTAGGACCACATGCAGAGAGCGGTATCAGAGCAGAGTCAGATGTCACCCCCTGCAGAACCACCACCTCCAAGACCTCCTGCTGCAGGGAAGAGTGGAACTTGGCATCTCCCCAGGGCCCTGCCGTGACCCTCCACCCCCATCCCAGCCACACTGGCTTCCTCATCCCCAATACCCCCAGCTTCTCCCACCAGCTGCCCTCTGCACCATCTGACTCCTGGCTGAGGCCCCTCGCCTGTCACCTCTCAGAAAGGCCTCCTGGACACCCATGGAAAGGGGCCACAAAAAGACCCTCTCCAAGATCCCTCCCCGCAGCGGTATTTGCTGCACTGACTTTCCCACCCTGGGAAAGGCTTTTGTGCCGACATTTGGTGGGCTGCCTGTCGTCCTCTCCTGGGGCAGAGGCCACAGCCAAGGCCTAGAGGAGGGCAGGGCACACAGCGCCACTGCCACCCTGACCACGAGGAAGTGCAGCCTGAGCCACCAGGAGCGCTCCTGAGCCACCGTCTCAGCTCCTGAGCTCTTTTCGGATTTTAAGAGCTGAGGGTGTCAGGGTTTAGCGCTGCCGTTGACAAATCGTGACAAAAGGCAGATTTCTTGCAAACAACGTAAGAACCATACAGCATAGATTAGAATGTAGAAAAACAGAATTCATGAAATCCAGAACACACCGCATACGAAGTTAGAAGACAAAAACCTAATTTGGAAAATAGTTGTAAAACATAAAAACCAATGAAGGGCAAATGACGCGTAAACAAAGTTGTGATCAATTAGAAAGCGACAGTGCCCTCTCACTTCCCCACGAGAACTCGGACGGGACGTTTACAGGCAAAGGACGTTTACAGAAGCTCAAAGTGCAAACAGCAAAAGGACCTGTAAAAGCTGCGTGGTCTCAGCAATAAAAGCAAGACAAACAAAGACAGTAAACATTGAAAGCAATACAAACAAAGACAGTAAATAAAGATAGCGAATAAGGCAGCATACCTAGCCTATCAGATGGAATAAAAGGTAAACCACAGACAAACCTCCAGGCTGCACCAGGTTTTGGGAAATTCCCCCTCCCAGCCCGTGGGTGGTCTAGAGAGCTGTGGCCTTTATGGGAGAATTAAGCCGGTCCAGAGACTCCACGTCAAGGCCTGTCCACGAGGAAATCATCACTTGGAGCCTCTGATTGCCACACGTATGCAGAGCCAGGGTCCTTCATGAGTGTGGAAGATGCAGAGAACAGAAGAAGGAAGGGACTGGGGACCTGGGGTGAAGACAGCAGGAGATGCCGCCTTCATCTCAGGCACATGCGGCCTTGGAGACACATGCAACGCCACGAGCTTTGGTTGCCTGAGTCATTAAATCAGAATGGGCTGGGTGCAGTGGTTCACGCCTGTAATCCTAGCACTTTGAGAGGCCAAGGCAGGCAGATCACTTGAGGCCAGGAGTTTGAGACCAGCCTGGCCAACAGAGCAAAACCCCATCTCTCCTAAAAATACAAAATCAGCCAGGCATGGTACACAACTGTAGTCTCAGCTACTCGGGAAGCTGAGGCAGGAGAGCGGCTGGAGCCCAGGAGGCAGAGGTTGCAGTGAGCCAAGATTGCACCACCGCACTCCAGCCTGGACAACAGAGCGAGACTCTGACTCAAATACAAAGAATTGGAACACCACTTGAACCAGCGGCAGCCAGCAAGACAAGTGGTGACTGGCCAGGCATGGTGGCTCAATTCGCCATTTTGGGAGGCAGAGCTAGTGGATCACTTGAGTCCAGTAATTTGAGACTAGCCTGGGCAACATAGCAAAACTCCATCTCTACAAAAATACCAAAAAAAAAATTAGCCAAGTGTGGTGGTGCACACCTGTGGTCCCAGCTACTCAGGAGGCTGAGGCAGGAGGATCACCTGGACCTGGGGCAGTCGAGGCTGCAGTGAGCCACGATCATGCCACTGCACTCCAAACTAGGTGACAGAGTGAGACCCAGTCTCAAACAAAAAGGCAAGCCGTGACCTCTGCACCTTCGGGGGCCAGAAGCCTGGAGCGTGAGTGTGTGTGAACACAGAGCTTGACCTTGCACGGCTGTGCTCTGTTAGTCATTCAGCAGACAGCTAAGAGGGCCTTTGGGTGCCAGGGCTGGGTGCCCCACCAAGGACACCCGAGTGAAAGCCAAGCTCCCCGCCTGCAGGGAAGACAGACATCAGCCAGGGCCCAGGGGTCCTCCCAAGCCGCTTACTCCCAGGCAGTTTTTCTGCTCTCCCCACTCCTAATGGCCTGCCAGGAACAGAGAGGTCGGCGGCGGCACAGGACCCCTGAGGAGGATGGGAGGACACCGAGCAGAGGTTCCGCCAAGATCCAGCGCGACAGTTCTGTAATGCTTTGGTTTAATTGAGAGGCTTGCTATCGGAAGGGGTGCTGAGAGCTTTTTCTCTACTGAACTATTTATAAAGAACAATTTCTCCCCTTAGTGTCTCCCAGCCGGGAGCTGGGCTGTTCTCACCAGACAGGACTCTTCTCAGGTGAGCGGCATTCTTCTAAAACTCATCAGGCGATATTACAAAAAGTCCCTTTCTATAAATAACTGCATCACATCTGCTCCAAAAGCAAAAGGAGAGGGTCCTAAATAGACCATCATCTTTTCATATACACTTAAAACCATGACCTTGCTCAACTGCTTGCTAACAATTATTAGTAATTCATGAGATGTTATGCTAACACAGATCCCCCTAAAAATGAGTCTTTATGCTGAAAACACCCACCATGTCACCATGCATGGGGAACACTTTGCCTCACATGGTGATTCACAAGCTCTGTCTTCAAGAAGGAGTCATGGCTTCAGCTTAGAGGATGACTCCTTCAAGTAAACACTGGCCCGCAGTGTCACCTGTTGGAAGCAGGTTAGGGTTGGGAACAGCGCCCGCGGAGAAGGTGGCTTGCGGCCTCTGTCCCTCGTGAGGGCTGGGCTTTCCCTTGCTTTGCAGCAAAGTGGGCTCTAAGCCTCCAACTCTCGCTCCATCTGGTGACGCTGTGACCTCACCCCCAGTGCCTCCGGTCATCATCCATAAAATGGGGATGACTGCTGTGCTCACATCCCAGAGCTGTGAGGAGAGCAGAAGGGTGCACCGTGCGGCGTGGAGCGTCTGCCCGGAGCCTAGCCCGCAGCCAGTCGCCACTCGTGGGGCCAGACACAGGGCCAGAGAGGACGGAGGCGACTCATCCCCTGCCAGGTCATTTGCAAACCTGCAACTCACCACACTCAGGCCCTCACCCTGATGTTGCTTAACATTGTGATTTTTCAAAAAACAGAGTGCTTCCTAGAAGGACACTGAGTGGACCAAGCCAAACCAGCACTTGAGGACACAGCCCAGCGGCTCCCGGCTCCCCCAGGTCCTGCCCTCGGTTCCGCCCGCCCTCCCCCAGTCTCCTCCCAACTCCCCACCGCAACTCCTTCTGCCACACCCACCCCTAATTCCCAGTTCCTTCAGATCCAGAAGCCACCTCTTCCAGAATGCACCCTGCCAACCTACCCACCTGCTCCCAGGCACCGGGGGCCTCCCCACTCCACACCTGCACCCCGGCAGCAGGGTTCTCCTGCCTCGCGTGAAGCAGCCTTCAGGGTAGCCAGGGAACTTTCCTTTCCACAAGTGCCTATTTCATTGGTCACAGACTCTCAGTGATATCCCCCCAAGAGTGGCCCTAATGTTAGGAAATCTATACGAACTAAACGGAGAATAATTGGGGTATTAAGTGTCCGAGGCGGCTGCTCACGGAGAACAATTTCTAAGGATGGGAACAAAGAGGAGAGAGAGTGCCAGGCCGGCTCGTACCCGCGGGAATGATTCCGATCCGGAGGCTGCTGGGGACCAGCACGGCCCGGGGGTGGTTCTGGTCGACCCCGGCGCTCCTCTGCGTCCTCCCAATCAGGCCGTGCAGCACCTCGCTGAACATGCCGTCACCGCCGACACAGACGATGCTGCAGGAGGAACAGCTGGTCAGGGCCCCGCAAGGGCGACCACCTAGTGCACCAGGCCTGAGGCTTCCGACCTCAGGAGGGGCAGCCTGCGTGCCCGGCCCTTGGCAGGTGTCTGGGAGCGCGGCTCCTGATGTCCCTAAGTGATAAGGTGAGCCTCTCTAACGACTGGCCTAGACCACGTGTACAAACAATGAGATTTATGCCAGACACTGGCTTTCCCTCTGTGAGTCCAGGATTTGGGCTGCTAGGCAGAGAATGCCGGTATGCCAATACCCCATCAAAAACACTACACTCTGGGTCTCAAGACTCTAGTTTGTGGGGTGGGAACAGCGGATCTGTGCTGCTGAATTTGTGATAGCAGACAGGCTGCAGTCCAGGCGGCCCGCACGGCGGGAGAGGCAGAGGCACCTGCGTGTGGATATTTCACCTTGGCTGAGCCAGCTGTGCAGCCTCAAGGTGTCCGGTCAGAAATCTCAGCCAAGAGCATGACCCCAGCTCAGGCAGCAAATGACTAGCCGTGTGGGTGGTCTTAGGACACAAGGCAAGAGCAGAGGGGACAGAATAGATGCTGGACAAAATGGGTCATGAGAAAATCTAAGGAGAGGAGGTGGAGACGGGGCAGTGGCTAAAGGGAGAAAGGACGGGTTTTAGGGCGTGCTGTCCTATGCCGGGATGACGAAGGAACCAACACCGAGGCGGCAGAACGAGGGGTGCAGGCACGGGGACAGACATGTCACTGCAGCCTAGAGGGAAGGCAGAGGACATGGCTCAGGTTCACCGGATATCCCAGTAGCGTGCGGCAACCCGAGAGCTCCCACCACCTGGGAAGAGAGGGCTGCACTCGGAAGAGCTGCCCGTGGAGGAGCTGCCCGTGGAGGAGTGGTGGGGGTTGACTAGAGGGTGCAGCCTGAGGGGTCCCATCAAGCACGACAGCATCAGGGTGCCTGCCCACTCCCCGGTGGGTCTGGCTGTGCAGGCGCAGGCCAGTCTCCAGAGCTGAGATCTCTGCCCCCCACCCACCCACCACGCAGGGCACCTACGTTGGGCCCGGCTCCCATGGTAAGGTTCTTTGCCCTTCCCACAGCCTACACCTTGTGCTGGGGCTGGCTTCCCAGAGGGGCTGTGCTTTCAAGGACAGGGCATCCTTGAACGTGCGGCGTAGCATCTGTGAGTTCACAGATCACTCGGAGGGCTCAGCTGCAAGAACAGCAGCCCTCACTGGTCAGGCCATCCCGCCTCTTGCAGGGCATGTGCCTGGGTTCTGAGAGAAGGTGCGTGCTCAGGAGTTGGGGCCCATGGCATGACTGGCTGATCCCCGGCCAGGGTGGGTGCAATAAGGTACCATCCCCATCACCGCTGAAAAGTGAAGACGATGGTCTTCCTGCCAAGCTGCTGTCGGGTGGAGTTGGGGGGGAGTATGTGGGGGGAGCTGCCGTGGGTGGAG